ATTGGCTGAGCAGCACTTCGATTCCTAAGCAGAAGTCGAAAATTTGGTGTTTGGATTTGATTGTTGACATGGTATTTACAAATGACCAGAAAGATGGTCAAAATGTTTAAAAAGCAATGTTCAATACTGTAAATAATTTTTTATTTTTTTTTTCTATTAAAAATTAGTATTTCATTTATACAAAAACATTTCATACCGGTACACCTGGTAAATTGTTCAGATCGGATCATTAGAGCATATAGCTGTCATTCATAGTGCCCGATCAAAATCGATATAAAGTTCTTCATAAAATATATATTTTCCTTAATAAGTAACTTTAAATCTAATTAAAGGTTGTTTATATACAACAAAAAGGCTAGAAAGAACGAGCAAAACGTTTACCGTTAAATGCAAACTATTGGCCTGTTACGTTTTCAGAGTTAGTTATACATGTCGTTGCTATAAGAAATGCAACTTTGAAGGGTATTAAAGCTTTGGTGCCGCGTGTTTTTAATTACACCTTAAATATTTCTGATGCTCCTTGCTTGGTGATATTTTTGATGTCAACAACCTAGCAAAATTTAGTTATTTTCCCAAAAAATAATAACTGCTAAAATTATGTTGTCACTTGAAATTTAGTGTCCTTCAACCGAGTGTACTTCCAGCAGTGCATTTACAGCACATAAGCAGGAGAAGTTTTACAAAAATTTTAAGCGACCAAAAACAAGCCTTCAACCCTCTGCGCCGGCGGCGGCTTCCGAAACGTGACCTAAATAAGCAAATGTGAAAATATTCGATTAACGCATAAAATGCATTAAATATTTATTACGCACAACATACTTGAAAAACATATGAAAAAATGTGTGGTGCGAAAACAAATATTACCGGAAGTGTTTATATCACAATTTCGATTTACATTTTTAAAATGCAAAACTTAACGCAATTAAAAATGTTTTATAGAACACAATGTGTAAATATACTCGAATATCTATGTATATATGTGTATGTGTGATGTAAGTGTATGCGCATAACTTTACGCGCAGCGGAAGGCAATCGTAAAGCTGAAACGCCTGTTTAAATTCGAAATAAAGAAGGAAACGCGATTTTCCTGCAAATAAATTGCGCAACAACAAAAACAATTACCTATACACTTACATGCATGTATATGTGTGTGTAAGTGTGCAGTTGTACTTGCGTGGAGTGAAAAGCTCGGCAAAAAGTTTGCGAACATTTTCCGCTTTAATTCAACTGCGCGAATTCCTGGCAATAAAACGCTTTTTTGTTGGCTAAATTTGTTTACATTGTGTATGTTTCAGCCGCATTATAACACAGACTCAATTTGCACAGCATAAATGCAATAAAAGTGAAATATGTTTGAACACACACACACATATATACAGCCATATAGAAATCTCGCATAACACGTGGAATTAAATTGAAAAGTATGCAACAACCACTTTTTTTGAGAGACATAAGAACAATGTGGGGGCTGTGAGGTTATTTTACAGGCATACACATATACATACATACTTATACACATACACATGCATATATGTATGTACATATGATCATGCATGTTACTTATCACGCTTAATGGGCTCTTAAGTAAATATAAGTGGCATCTCTGTCACAGCGTTGTGCCGCAGCACTTTAGTACATATGTATATGTGTATGTGTGAATAACAAATGCAATGCAGCTATGTGATGTTATGCGCTGCCTTGCCATTTGAACCAAAATTGTGGTATTTTTCTACGAAACTATTGGTGCAGCTAAGCAAATGAAACTGGTACACATAAGCACATTCGTCATATCTAAGCACACACATACATATAAACAAAGCACATACATCCCCCAATAATTGACACACCGCGCATTACATTGCACATCACTTGGAAAATAGATTTCAAAGTCAATAATGTTTTCTGGTTGATGAAAGCAACTTTTCAGCTGCTTTTACTTAAGCAAAAACAAAATAAATATTTAAATTAGTGCAATTATAATTAATTTTTTATGTATAAAGTCCTAACTTTCTGTTATTTTCTGACAAGTTGTAAATTTTCATTAACTTTAAAGGAAAACTTCTAATTACTACTTCCGAGTAACTTATACAAGTATATACTATTTTATAAAGATCGCTCAACGGTTGTATAATTTATCCATTAATAGGAATAGAAATACACGTTATATGTATGTATAACAGTTTGCTTCCAACGGAAAACGTTTTGCTACTTCTTTGTAGTCACAGTGATTGATAAAAACAACTTTTAAGACGGATATAGCTTACTTAACTTGGAAAAAATATATTTTATGACGACCTTTATTGAAATTTTAATAGGCCAGTTAGGTCTATATGTTATAGTGATCTGATCTGAACAATACAACAGGAGCATTAGCTTGAATAAAAATATATTATAAATTGTGTGAATATATCTTGTCAAATAAAAAATTTCCAGTTTGGTAGATATATACTGCAGTCGTCCGGTCTAAACATAATCTTTGGAGATTTTAGTGTTGCCGTGCACAATACTTCATGCCAAATTTCGTGAAGATATATTATCAAATAAAAAGTTTTCTATTTCTTCCATACAAGAACTTAATTCTTATCAATCAGTTTCCATAGCAGACAAATGAGCAGCAGATGGACCAACCATATACTAAGGTTCAAGAAAAAATATTTTTGCATATATATTTTTTAATTTTTGTGGTAGCTGTATGAAGACTTTTTTTGATTTTTTATGTTTTGGTAATTTTTGTTTTTGCTATTGCAGTATTATATATAATAGTATTGCTATCTTTGTTATTGTAATATAATGCATAATTTAAGATAGCTCTCCGTTGTTAGCTAATTACTTACAGAAGTAGTGTTCAAAGTTTCAAAAGGTTCAGTGCAGTAGTTATGAAGTCATTAAAGGCACCGCCCTTGAAAATGTGAGTTGTGGGTGAATTATTTAAAAGTACACTCAAAATTAAGACAAAAATTCTCAAAGCATCGTAAATTTCACGCCAATCGACTTGATATGTTTATACAATATTTTTGAAATAAGCATTAAATTAAAAAAATTAAAATTAAAAAATAAAATTTGAAAAGGGTTCAAGTCTATTAAGTACTAAGATATGTAGATAGATAACAGTGAAATTATTTTACTAAAATCTTGATAGAGTACTTATAAAGGGTGTTTATTTTAGACACGTGGTATATAACGCATATTATACAATGTTACGTTCAAGAATTTAACTTTATTATAAAGACAAGGGTACGACATTACGTTTGCAAGATGATTTAGGGCAAGCTCGAATAAATTCCAGCCGAGATGTCCAATTTTCCACCGCTTTCTACAGCAATTATGGCAGTATGTCAGCAATAACGAGCCAATTGTTCTCTTGCAAAGCGTCACTCGTCTCGTGCTCATCTGCGTTGAAAAAACACCCGTTATTTTATAAAAATGCCTATGTACAAATTACGATAACTGCAAGATCTATGTTTTTACGATATTCAGTCGCCTCTTATGAACTCTGATAACAGTATATGCTAACAACTTGCAAACTGCTAAAAGAAACGGACTCTCATTAATAGTAACTGCTCTCAATGCATTTATTTATGCACATTAACAGTAGAGATGACACTTTAACATACACTGTTAACACCCCCAACGAAGCTAACAGTAGTGGAGCACTGTTAAAACACATGATTAACAGCGCTACTTAAGCCAAGCGGTAGGCAATCAGATCGGGAATAAGTGAGAGCAAATAAACGCTCATCGGCTGCTATATACTGTACATGCATACACACTGAGGAACAATGTAAACAACTTTATGGTTTTGACTTAGTTTTGTCATATTGTGAGCTGCCTATGCAGGTTTGTCAGATTGTTTATGGCTGGGAAACGACTTTCATTGCAGAAACTACTATGCACAAACATACATACACATGTACATATGTATGTAAGTGCGTGCATGTTAGCCGGATGGTTAAATTGATCGGTGATTTTTCTTATGGCAGGGCGTTCGATGGCCAGCACTTCGGGAGAAATCAATCTAGCAAGAGCTGAGAGAGTCAGCGGCATATAAACAGCTGTGATAATGTACCTATAGAGCATACCATGTAGGAAAAATTTGTATGTCTAAGGGGTTGATAAATGGGGCTGTTTGTCACGAATATTTTAGAAAGGCCTATAATAAATAAAAGTTCGCATAATGCTAACTCTACTTCATTTGTTTAAAACGTATTGGCAGTTTTTGTTACTTTTTCTTAAGCATTCTTAGATTTGATAATTGTCGAAGTCTCAAAGTCGTGCAAACATATTAAGCTGGGATATGACTTGTATTTTTTTGCTCTATGACTTTCAGCGCTGCATTTAGCCATCGTTTTTATAAGCTAAATAGATGCTGAAAACTAAAAGATCTCAAAAGTATGGTTAGGACTTGTCCCTCACTTTTCAAAATGTGTATGAATGAAAATCGCATTTTGGTTATGGGTTTGTGGTTTATAACAGCTTCTTTCTTACCAAAAACAAAAATACTTCAGCGTTGTAAGTTGCGCCATGTTCAACAAAAAAATCAGATTTATATAGATGCAAACAATTGTAATACCCATATTTTACACACAAGTCGGGTAAATTAAGCAACTTTTGAAAGCTGCTTTGCTTAGCAGAATTGAAGGCTATTTTTAATAATGATATAATATTAAATTTTTTGGTATTTTTTATATTTTAATTTATTTCTTCTAAAGTCGAAACCTCGAAGAGGAAGATTACGTGACTTGTGTCAAAAAATATAACGGAACATTCCTCAATAAAATGTAAACGGTAGCGGAACCTACAGAGTCAGCTTAGATTTTCCGACAGGTATGAACTGAACAAGTAGTTTTAAATATATATCAATAATATGGTTGTATTTTATGTCTTTTTAACGCGGTCTGATGACCATAATTTGTATGTATGTATGTACTTTCATATGTATATGTGTACGAACATATTATGTTCATCTATATATATAATATATTTGTAGGTTTGACTGCAGTATAAGGTGCGTCGGCGTTGTAGAAGCCGTTGAAAAGTGTTTCTGATTGAAAGCAGTTGGAAAGTGTGACACGTGACGGATTTACGGATTAGATAAGTGAGTGATCAAATTTGCTGGAGATGTTCTAGCGGCGATTTGCTGCGCTTTTGAATATCGTTAGTGTTCGGCACTTTTATAAACAAAAGCTATTTTATGTATATAAGTAGCGCTTATATTTCTTAAGAAGATCTGTGCTAGTTGTAATTGGTTTAAGAGTAATAAAAATTCCGCAAAAAACCAAAATGCAGTCTGAGCGCTCCAAATAAGACACTTTTACTAACAAAACCTACATATATATATTTTAGGTCGTACTTCATTTAAAACAAATTGTTTATTCTTGCTTAAGCTACCAATCTTCGCACGCTCACGCGCCACCGCCGTTTACTCGCTAGCTCTCTGCATGCACAGATATCGCTCTTATCTCTTTTGTGCGGGAGCGCAACCAGTTGACCATCAACAGCGGCATTAACAGAGTTTTCTTTTCTTCTGTTAGGTCATTTCAGCCACTCATAGCTCGCTGCGCTCTTGTCTTTTCTGCCGTGGGCGATCTTCGTTGGTCGGCATGGTTTCGTTGGACTATGCGACTTTACGCTCTAGCAGCTAATAATGATGCATTTCCAACACAATATCAAGCAACTGTAGTTCAGTCAAAATCGAGATACCGTTTCGAACGGATGAAAAATACGGCGATCGTCGCGCAAGCAAAACAATTTACAACGATTATTGATAACAACAAAGAATAAGCTTATATAGCGTGGAAAAAATTAGAATTCAATTACAAAACAGAATACAGAAAAAAAAAACGAAAAGTAATCTAGCTACATTTTACGTGCTTTTTTTAAAAGAAATATATTTAAATTTTTATTTGTGTGTGTGCAACAGTCTACGAATACAAAGTGTTTAGTGTAAAAAAATATATAATAAAATCCAATCAAGCACAACCAAAACACAACGATATGGCAATAAAAATCACAAATTTATTACAAAGTCAACGTTAACGAGTGTTAAATAAGAGAAATTAAAAAATATATTAAGGTGAAGTAGCAGAAAAAGAAACAAGTGGATTTGTGTAAAAGTGTAGAAGTGTTGCAATAAAGCAGAGAGTGTTAATCGTAAAGATCGGCCGATCGGCGCCAATATTTGAATTTCGAAATTTCAAGTGCGAAATTTAGAAATAGCAAGCGATTTAGTGGCTTTGTGTGCTTAAGCTATAGGAAAACAAGGTTAAAAATATTGTGACCTCATAACGAAAAATTGGTAAGCAGCGCGAATTCCAATAGTAATAACAGTTGTTGCGTTTTTCGGCAAGAAAATGTGCTTTGGAAGGTAATATATACATATGTATGTCTGTATGTAACCAAATGTGAATATTGAAAACATGATTTGAAAAAATATGCATATCTAGGCTAAAATATATGAAATGTAATGAAGACTAAGATAATATTTATAAAAAAAAATATTTAAATTAGTTCCAAAAAAATATTTAAATAAAAAATAAATATATGTTGGCGCGTTCGAGAGCAAGAACTTCGAAGTTTGCTGTAATTTTTCCCCTCTATTTTGGCGCACATTTAGCTGCAACTCCGCTCCCCCGCCACTGCAGTTTTCTTTCCTTATAGCATTTCTCCTTTTTTTATTTATCGCACGCAAGTGCTTGGCTGTGGGAAGCGGATATACCGCAATAAAACACTTGCAACAGCCGAGTTGCGGCAATAAAATGAAAGCACAAACGAGGCAAAATAAACAAATTAATATTTTATTTCATGTTGTTAATGCTATCAGTGAAGAGCAACAACAAAGTAGCGCCAACGCGCGTATCAGAGCAATGCTTTTAATATACTAGTAGGCTGCCGCGCTCAAGCGAGGCAATATAGCATTTAAGCATTTAAGTTGAAGAAATTCTCAAATCGCTATAAAAATCCAATACTCTGTAAAAACATTGAAAAAAATTGGGGAATTTCCAAAAATCAACGCTTTGCTTCACCTGTGAAAGCATCCACAATCATGTGTAACGTGAGAGAGAGAGCAGGCGCGCGAATTTAAAGCCCTGATAATAAGAAATCTTTGCTTTGATCGAATTAAAATTTCTTTACAGTGTGCAATTAGCGCTTCAAGGCAAGCGTAAAGTCAACTGTAAGCGCATAAAAATCATGTCACTTACTCTTGCCTAAACTTCGTTGCTGTCTTTTCGCCTCATGCGTTCATATGCCGTTGCCTTATGTGCGAATTTTGCATTTTTAATAAAGAAATTTCGTACGCGCTGACACAATTCACAGCCGAATCACGCTATTTGCCTTTGATACCAACAAAGTATGCGTGTATAAAAGAAATGCCCCTTAAGTCTGCTCCCCCGAAAATACCTGGTCACCAGCGCCTAGTTTTTGTTTCCATTTCTTCTCGCTATCATAGTGCTAGCTGCTTCTCTTTTTCTGTTGTTTTTATTTAGTTGTTCATTATGTTTGGAATTTTTTTGTGAGTTTTTTTTTTGCGCATAAATTTTGTGATGAAAGTTTTATTTGCCAGCGTTTTTGTCAAATTATAAATTATTTAATTTAATTTCTTAGTTCTTTTGCTTTTCTATTTGTTTGCTTATACATATTTGGAGTTGCGTGGGTACTACTATTGCAGAGTTGTTGCTTTTTTTAATTGCTCTTGCTAGTGATTTATGCTCTTTATCACGGTCGCAGCTGTTGGGCAAGCATGAAGATCACCCGAAGATCTGATAAATCGCTGTGATTTCACATGAGCGTTTTAATAGATGAAAGTTAGCTTTGTTGTTGAAATAGTGTTGGACAATATACATACATATATGGGTATATGTAAAGAGCGTTAAGTATAAATTCTATAGCAGCAATAAACTGATTAGGAAACTAGGCAAATCTTATTTTATTTTCTTTTTTGGATTATATTGTTCATTCATATATACGTATATTATTTATACCCTGAATATGTGGGTATATTAAGTTCACCACGATGCTTGTAACATCCAAAAGGAAACGTCATAAAATATATATAGAGATCTATAAAATGTTCAGCGTGACGAGCTGCGTCGATTTAGCCATGCTCGTCTTTCTGTGTATATACGCAAACTTGTGTCTCAGTTTTTGAGATATCGCTCCGAAATTTTGCATACGTTATTTTCTCTTCAAGAAGCTGCTTATTGGTCGGAACCACTATAGCGTATAGCTGCCATACAAACTGAACAACCAAAATTATGTTCTTGTACGAAAAACTTTTTTTTTGACGAGATATTTTATTTTCTTTGGCACAACTAAAGCATCACTATAATCTCCGAAAATATTGTTCAAAGATCTTTTTATATTCTTTTATACTATAAAAAAGCACCAGTGCAGATAATTATTGCTTCGGTGCAACTAAAGTTACGACTTTTCTTGTTTTTTTTTTTTTTGTATGCCACTAATATTCCATCTAGATGTGATTGAATTTTTTAATAATTGTGCGTTTATGTCAGAATCGCTTAAATCAACTCAAGTTGAGTTGGATATTTTTATTTCTTTATCCTTGCGTTGTCACGTCTATGGCAGCAAAAATATTTTGAGATTTTTTTAATCTAAATTTTCAGAATTTTTTCAATGAATATTATTTAATATCTATTTATAACACAGAATTCAAATATTTTATTTTTTATTTTATATCGGGCAGTGACTAAAATAACCCATTAAAATTTAGCTATTTAATAAATTTATATTTTCGCAAAATTTTTCGTTTATTGTAAATAAGAGTGACTAATTCAACACATCGTTAAAAATAGGTCAAATGGATTAATAATATAAAATGAAGCATGCATTTTTCATTTATTGACACATATGAAAGGGAGAATTTTGGTTCCACAAATTAAATATACTAAAAGTTTTTTTGGAGATTTAATTTTTTGATGGTATTTGTTGGAAAATTTATATAAAATGAGTTGCAAATTTCCATAATTTCAATAATTTTATTTATATTCAGAAAATCCATTTTTTTTCAAAAATTAAAATGTTTGTCAAAAAACCTATTTTTTCAAACATTTTATATCAATGAAATATTTTTGGAAATATTTAGAAAAATATTTTTTTCTTCAAATATTAAAATTTGATTTTCAAAACTAAAATTTTCCACGTTCGTATTTCAACATATAAATTTTTTTTCAAAATTATAATATTTTTGCAGTATTGTTTTTTATGTACCTAAATTTATTCCTTCCAAAATTTATAAAAGTTGTATAACAACAACTATTTAGGAACCTGAAGACAGAAAAAAATAAAGTATATTCTTCAAAAAACTTATTCGAAAATCTATATTTTTATTTAAAAAGTTTACAATAATAAAGTTTGTATTATGTTATGTAATATAATGTTTTTAAAAGTATATTTTTTATAATAGAAAACTGCTATTCATCAAATATTATTATTTGATTAACAAAAATAAAAAATGTCATAGCTTCGTTTTAAACTTATTAAATTGTTCTTCAAAATGGTAATTTTTTTCCACTACACACAATTGAATTGTTTAAAAAAAATTTTTTGTTAATTTAAAATATAAAATTTTTCCTTCAAAAGCTCACAGAAGTCTTATAGTTACAATTTTTTTTGGAAGCTGAATTTTTTTACGCAAGAATTAAAATTTGTGTATGAAAAAATAATTTTTGTAAGCATTGGTAAATTTTTAATTTTGAGCCTCAAAATTACGCAGACAAATTAACATCTTTTTTCTTACTAAATTGCTCAATGCAACCGGCGCCAACCACGCACATGTCACACCATTTGACCCCCCACTGGCGCCCAGCGACTGGTCCATGTTCAATGACCCACTCATAATTTTTCATAATTTTCAAAAGGCCAAATCACGGCTGGATTTCGAATATTGTGGCTGACAGCAAAGCTGCTAAAATTTTACACACACTCACATATACACATTTACATATGTCTACAAAAAATTGTGTCATAAAGCATTTATTTTGCTTACAACAACAACAACAAAGAACAACTCGTACGCTTAGTAAAAGAGTTGTATTCAAAATTAAAATATTAAAAGAAACAAAGATGCTTGTATGTACATATGTATTTCTATTTGGTGTGGACAGTGATGAATATTAAAAATTAATGAACTGAAATATTTTTTAACATTTTTTTAATATTTTTATATTTAATTTGTTATTTGATATTTTGTTTGCCTGTGAAATAAAATGAAAATGCTTTTGTTTGTCATGTAGCGCAACTTTTTCATCCATATACATATATACATACATGTATGTAAACACATTTACACATGCATAGTCCCAGCTCATGTGCTCATTACACAAAATTTGCCCCACTTCGTGCCTTCATGTCACAACAACAACCACATCCAAATGCATGTTCCGTAGTCGAATCGCCTAAATCCTCAACTCCCGCACTCGTTGAAGCGCTCAATATTTAGTTTATTTACACGCTCATTTACGAGTAGTGCACTTGGACTCCCCCAATTGGGTGAAATTCTATTAAATTGTGTGATATCACACATATTTTCACACTGCACGCACACAAATTATTTGGAAGCTTTAAGGCTTTAATGAAAGCTGCTGCAGTCAACCATACAAATGTGAGCTTTCAATTGGCTTTAGTTTTCCAAAATGTCCAAATTTAATTGAAATTAATGCCCTCGCTGCCACATACATACATACATAAATTCTATTAAATTTTAGTGAGTCGCACAACTACAACTACAAAGCTAGTTTATAGTATGTGTATATGTGTGGAGCTTTCATTAAGTGAAATATAAATTTTTATTAAATTTTTGGAATTTTCAGCAACAGTAATTAAGTAATTGAGCACTCAACTGTAAGCAATTATCAATAGTTAATAAATTTTATTTATTGTGAAAAATTCCAAAAATTATTGAGAGTATCATGTTACCGTTGTTACTTTGAAAACCTAAAAATTATTTGTAAATATTTGACACACACGCTCACCGCAAACATATGTACATCACTTCAGGAATTATTTGTAATCATTTTAAGTACTTAAGATTTTCCGAGAAGTCTGATTACTTGCTTGACTACCTGCAGGCGGCCCTTATCGAGCGCTTATTGAGTGGTTTGCATGCTGTTCAGATACATTTATCTACAGATAAACGATGTACCGACCGACACATACATATCGTATATGTATATATACCTTTACGTCAATATGTGTATGCGTATATATATATATATATATATATAAGTATAGGTGTATTTGTGCAATTTTATCATTCTCTAGATGCTGGCATTTCGCATTTCTCTGTATGTTGTATAATACTCAAGGTTATTGCTGATTACTCAGTTACCGTAATATCGTGATAACCGT